TGAGAATTTATAAATAATTCGCATGAATTAAGATTATATTTACCTGGCTGAATGATCTTACGTTGATTGTTATAGTATATAGTTTGTTTTTTTTCCCAAATGATTTGCATAATTCTAAGCTTATTTCTCAAGTGATTTTTTTCTTCTCGATTATAATATCGATTGAGAGTTTATAAATATTTTGCAAGAATTATGGTAAGATTATATTTAACCTTGTTGTATCTCATAATTTATATCGGTTTTCTCAATGATTTTTTGTTCGATAATATTGATTCAGAGTTTATAAATACTTCGCAATAATTAAGATTATACCTAATCGGTTGGATTTTCTCGATATATAAGGTATCATCGTTTCGGTAAGTATTATTATAATTTTTCGATAAATTAATTAAAAGTTTTCTTTGTTTAGGTACGATTGATTATTGTTGTATCAAGTTTTCTTTTTCTTTTTGAATATTAGGATTTTTATGTAATTGATTTTAGAGAGTTTTATTCGGTATATTTGAGATATTTTTGAATAATTGGATCGATCCAATTATTTTAATATATACAAAAATTAACTAAGTGTAAAAAAGGAGGGTCCATACCAAAGTATTATTAATAACAATATATAATAATAATGATGTGCAATAAAAATTAGAAAAATATATGAGATGATGATGCTTGTGAATAACCCAAAAAAGTTAATATATATAAAAAAGAAAAATAGTATTTAATAATTTTATAATTATTATTTTTATTTACGCACGCGCGAAGGAAGATTGTCGATGATCTGTGATTTTTAATTTCAAGATATTCTTGCGATGTAGATGATCGAATCGTGGAACGAATTGTGTGTGCGCAGTCGTCAGTGATTCGAGATAGACTGAATTAAAAACAAAGTACACACACACACTCACATATAAACGCAGCTTTCGTTTATACGTAGGAGAGTTTTAAAAACGAAACAAATAAAACAAATGTAGTATACGTTTTGCTGTTAGTAATGTTCCGCGTCGTTTGACTGGTTTTGTCTCTACTATATAAAAAGATAACTGTATAAGTTATCACACACATTTACATTTTAAATATTACACACATTCGTACAACTACGCGTATCCTTTTTATTAAATTGAAACTTTATTACACGAAAATGAAAAAAATACAAATTTATAGGATAATATATTTATAATATAATTAACACATCACACATTTTTTATTTTCAAGGCTGATTTTTCCCCTTTTTTCTACCTTCTTTTTTTGTCGCATTATTTTTGGATTAAATATTAATTGGAGAGGAGAAAAAGAAAATGTTATTATAAGATCAATAAATTATATTAAAACAAAAGGTATTATGTGTACAACGATTAATAATTAAAAAGAAAAAAAGAAATAAAGGAGTAGAAGAATATAGAATTGTTTTTTTTTTTTTGTTTTCAAATTAAAAGCGGTCTAGGTAAGACCCGTTAGATCACGGTTATTAAATTACTTAATTGCTTAATAAAAAGAAAAAAGAACATAATAAATTAAACATAATTAAAGTACGAAGAGAGATGTATTACAATCGAAAGATTCAGCCTAATTTTTTTTGTTTTGTTTTTGTCGAATCATTTCCACGAATATTTCTTTTTAAACAAATTAAAATTCTATTTCCCATTCCCTCTCCTGTCATCCCCGGTTAAAATAATGTCGAGCTAATAGTTTGATGGTAAACTTAAATAAAGAAAAATCTAAAGAGAAATCGATTTCGCGACGAATTTGTTCAAAGAAGTTCTTTGGGCAAAGAGCCAGGTTGAAAATATATAAAAAATCTCTAGAAGTTACCGATAACACAGCGGAGGGAATGGAAAAGCTGTTATTATTAGAAAGGGAAGCTTGCAGACTCGATCAAGTAAGTCGATAAGAAAGAGAGAGAGAGAGAAGGATTTACTGCTTCGATTGGTCCAGTAATTTCATTCTGACATCTAACGAAGAACGGAATGTTCGTCTACCACAGCAAGTATCCAAACATCTAAGAAACCTCAAACCAGTTATCCAGCCAGTTAACTATTTGAGCTACATAAATTTTCAGATAATAAAATAGCCAGCCCCCTATGTTTTACAGACAACATTTTATTGCATTTTCAATAAAACAACATTGATATACATACCTTCATTAATAATGCTATTACATAATGTAAAAACATCAAAGAAAGTAATAGAACAATAGTTTAATTATATTTGTAACAATTGTCAAAGATATTACCAATTGTTTTAAGTAAATAAAATGAAATATAAATCAGTGTGCATGCAGCCTGCTTATTGCAATATTTCGAGATGAGATTAAAAGTTGTCCTATCATCTTTTTGATGCACCTTAATGCATGGTGGGACATTTTCAATCCCACCGAGTACCCCAAAGAGTTAATCAGTCGATTGTGTTGATGATGACGTGTCTGATATACTCTCCTTCACAATTATGTAACCCTTTGCCTTCCTAGACTGGTCTACAGTTAACTGTTTACACGTAGAGAACGGACTATCTATCTATTAGGGTGCGGCGAAATCTAACTAACTCTATTATATCGAGAATGTATATACACACAATATGTCTTGTGTGTATGTATGCATATATATATATATATATATTTATATACCTTCTTGCGCACACTTTGACTAGCCTAGTTAAACACAATAGTAGTGCAACAAGCAGCAGTTAGGTAATGTTCACCGTTTTGTTCTCGAGTATTACTAACTGATCATTGTCATCATCTGCTTTTCAGAACAGACAATGGGTTTTTACTGAAAATTATATATATATATGTTTTTTAAAAATGATTTTGAAAGTATAATGTTTTTACAAGGAATAAACTTAATATTGAAATAAAATAATAATATGTTAATAATTTCTCACGATTAAAATCATTTCAATTGTAATTATTGTATCACGTTATGACAATTCTTTTCTATTTTTCTTTTTGAATTTGTCTGCTTAATTCACACTAATCATTTTTTATACTACACAAAATATTTAAGCAGACTAATATTGATAATGCAATAACGAATGAATTTTTAATTGTATCTTGATGATTTTAATCTAGTAAGTTTTTTTTCTGTATCTTTTCTAAGGCAATCGTTCTTAAGAAGTAAACTCCTTTAATTAATAATTAAAACAAAATAAATATATTAGTTTTTTAATTGTTATTTGTC